TGAAAAGGAGCAGCGTATCGGGCGGGGTGGGTTTGGATGGGGAGGATGGAAAAGAAAAGGAAGAGGCTTGGGAAGAACAAGCACTAAATAAACCACTACAAATCTATCAGACAGAAATTCATGTAAAAATTGCTGCTGACCAGAGCGAAGGCGCGTGCGATGGGCCAGCCACGCCACCCGAACGCAAGGCAGGAAAAGCCACTCGCCCAGTAGCTGTGAAAAGCCAACAGAGAAACACATCGAGAGCGTTTCCAAAAAGGGACTTTTCGGGCCTCTGGTCCGGCTCTTCCTTTTTCAGAACGTGTTAACCACCCACCGGCAGAAAAAGTGCCATGTGGTCAGATCGTGCGAAAAGCCCTCCCTGAAAAATCACTGTGCGTCACTCAAACCCCAGACCTCAGGGACACAGCTGGCAGGAAAGCCCAGAAATGGCAAAAATGACACCAAAACCTCTGAGAGCTCGAGGTGGCTGGGGGAAAACCCCCCTGAGCAGAATTGCAGCACGGTATTTAGTGCTGATACACAACAGCCTTGGGCGCAGCAGTTTGGGGACGGCTCCTGGGCAGAAAATCCCTGTTCCTGGATCAAACAGCAGCAGGGCAGCCTGAACACATCTCACCCCCCGGCACTGCATGGTGTCCCCCTCCTTCTGGGGGACAGTTTGTACAGGACACCCACCCAAGGGTCTGCAAAGCTCGGGGACAGCTGGCAGACACCTCGGGTAGGAGGGAGGTGACGGAGCAACCATCCTTGAGCTGCATGAAAAACCCCCACTGCTTCGAAACAGACACGGCTACTTTCTCCTCCAGGTGCAAAACACATCCTTCTATCTCCCTTTTTATAATTCATGGAATCATGGAATTGTCAGAGTTGGAAGGGACCTCTAGAGATCATCCAGTCCAACTCCCTGCCAAAGCAGGGTTGCCCAGAGCACATCACTCAGGAGCATCCAGGTGGGTCTTGAAGATCTCACCCTCACCCCAAACAAGTTCTTCCTCATATTTGAGTGGAACTTCCCATGTTCCAGCTTGTGCCCGTTACCCCTCGTCCTGTCACTGGGAACCACTGAAGAGTCCGACTCCATCCTCCCTCAACCCACCCTTTAGATACTTATAAGCATTAATAAGGTCTCCCCTCAGCCTTCTCTTCTCCAGGCTAAAGAGTCCCAGCTCTCTCAGCCTTTCCTCGTAAGGGAGATGCTCCAAGCCCTCCATCATCTTGGTTACCCTACGCTGGACTCTCTCCAGCAGTTCCCTGTCTCTTGAACTGGGGAGCCCAGAACTGGACATGATTCCAGTTGTGGCCTCCCCAGTGCAGAGCAGAGGGGGAGAATGACCTCCCTCCACCTCCTGGCCACACTCTGCCCTATGCAGCCCAGGATCCCACTGGCCCTCTTGGCCACAAGGGCACGTTGCTGGCCCATGGAGATCCTGCCATCCACCAGGACTCCCAGATCCTTCTCCTCAGAAGTGCTTTCCAGAAGATCCACCCCTAACCTCTACTGGTGCCTGGGGTTCTTCCTCCCCAGCTGCAGGACCCTACATTTGCCCTTGTTGAACTAACCTTGTTGAAAGCTAGGGAAAAATTTTTTGAAGACCCTAGTGTCTGAATCTGTGAAAATATTTACTTTAGAGCCAGCTCTGGGGTGCAGGTTGCAAAGTCTTGGTGTTTTCGAGCTCCCCAGCTCTGAGGATGAGGAGGAGCGAGACCCAGGCACTTGGCCCAGGCTGCCAACAGGATTATTTCATACCATGAATGTCATATTCAATATAAATTACGGAGTTTGCTGAAGAGTTGTCTCTCTCCCGTGATGGCTGTGATCCTGAGAACTTCTTGTCAGACCCCTAAGCCCTTCCCTTCCTTCTGGAGCCACGGCACTCGCAGTGTCCCACACCGGCCGTCCCTGCTGGGAGTGCACAGCTCCCTGTGATGGAATGATATTCCATGATATGGAATGATATTATATTGATAAAGTGCTCGGCGTACTTTATATTGGGACCAATATTGGTTCTTTAGTGCCATTAATGCTAATTATCTAGTCTTACTCTATTAAAACTGTTCATATTTCAACCCTGGTGTCCTGGGTTGAGAGACACAGGACTAACTTTTCTTCTAATGCTGGGAAAAATTGCACTTTTAGAAGACTCTAGCGTCTGAATTGGTGAAAATATTTACTTTATAGCCAGCCAGGCGGGATTCAAGGTTTTGGTGTTTTCGAGCCTTGCCAGGTGCAGGACAAGGAGGAGTGAGGCCTGGGCATTTGACCCAGGCTGCCAACAGGATTATTTCATACCATGAACGTCACATTCAATATAAATTAGGAAAGTTTGCTGCGTAGCTCTCTTTCCCTTGACGGCGACGAGTCCAGACAACTCCTTGCCCGGTGCCGGAGCCTGAGGCCTTCCCTTCCTCCTGAAGCCATTGCTGGCAGTGTCCGCCATTTGCTGTCCCTGTGGGGAGCGCAGGGCTTCTACTGATGGAACTGGCTGAGTGCAATTCTTGTGTATCTTATAGCAGTATCGGGATTAATACTGGTTCTTTAGTATTGTTGTTAATTATTTAGTCTATTAAATCTATTTACGTTTCAACCCTTGTGTTTCTTTGTGTTCCCCAATTCCCCTTTGCGGGTGGGGAAGGGTCATTGGGTATATCAGGTGTGTATATATATATATATATAGTTTAGACAATTATCGTGAATAAACCACAACAGGTGGGTTTTTCTTTTTTTTTTTTTTTT